AGTTGATTGGACCTAGAGTATAATACTTACAGATAGGACTGCAACTAAAATGAAAGGTTAAGAGACGAAAACATTTGGTTACAGATGTTGAAAACGAGAATGCAAAAGTGTATAAATCATCGAAGAGTCCAAATTGGCAAATTTATTGTTGCCACACTTGAAATAACACCTCAAAAAAAAATTACGTACCGCCAATTTTTCGAATGAATTAAACACAATTTCAAGCCTGTTATTACTAAACAAGTTCACAATAAAATACTATTAAAATAATTGTACACTCAATTTCACTGAAATATCACTAAAAAAATTTACTGACCTTGATTAAATTCATTGTAAATTTGCTTTGTCTATGAAAATCCAATCAATTCCACCCTTAGATCTTCACTAAAAGTACACTAATCCTGAAACAATATCATAAAAAAAAAAAAAAAAAAAAAAAGTCTCGTTAAAGTAATTCTATACTCAAGTTCACTAAAAGATCACAATAAATAATCTCTTGAAATTTGTTCTGCATTGAAATCACTAGTTTGAAGTAAATTCACCGTATATTCATGCATATGTAACTCCAATCAATTCTACTCTTAATCTTCACTAAAATTATGCGAATAGTGAAACATCAAGATCAAAAAAATCACATTAAAGATATTCCACAAAAAATAAATAAATAATAAATAAATTATAACTCAAATTCGCTATTCTAGATTAAATTCACTGTAAAATCATTTTTCTAACTCCAATCAATTCTACTGCTCCAATCTATTCTACCAAAACAAAAGGTGTATAAACTCATTGGATAAAAAAAATAATAATAATAAATAAAAATACAATCAGTGTACCTTAATTATAAACTCATTCTTGCCCTTCGTCTAACTCAAGGCAAAAACACGAAATCACAAAGAATAATAGCTAAATGGAACTCTACATTTCTAGACAAACAATATAGAGTTACTTATCTTATATAATGGCATATAATGAAAAAAACGCATTTATTTATTTATAATTTGACTCGAACAATGTTCTACCTAATATCTAAATGCGTAAATTACCTTCTCTACAAGGTCAAACATGGTCAAGCATCAATGTACATTAAATAGTTAGAAAGGAGTGTAGATTAGCAATTGTGTCTCTTATACTAAATTGTTGGTGACAAAAGGCCTATAAATTAAATATACTCTTATATTTAGTTATTGTGACTTTTACTTTCAAAACAAATACGATTTATTATAACTAATTTGAGGATGTTACTATAGTTGACCAAAGTTGTCTACACACCTTGAGGATATGAGAACTGTCTTAAAATATTTCTATTGTCGACTACATCAATAATAAACTTATAAGTCAAACGCTAGTTTGGGAATTATTTATTTTTTTTAACGAACAATTTATTAAAAAGTAAAGAGGACTTAATTTAAACATAAATTACTTACTTATTTTGAACTTTAAAGAATAAATCGCTTACCGATCTAACAACGTTACAATTCATATCTTACTTGTAAAATATTCAAAAAGTAAAAACCTATTTTTCAAGACGTTTAATAATTTGAAATATTTTTGCTACAATTATAATTTATTTTTTAAATAGGACTTAATTTTAACTTAAATGACTTACTTAATTTGAACAATAAAGAATAAATCGCTTACTGGTCTAACAATGTTACAATTTTTGTCTTTGAAAATAGTAAAAAGTAAAAAATTATTTTTTCAGACTTTTAATAATTTGAAATATTTTTGCTAAAATTATTATTTACGTGATAAATTATTAAATTTATTAAATCTATTAAAGGATTAAATGAAAAATCACAATATAAAAAAAAAATAGTCTAAATTCATATGTTAAGATTTTGAATTAATTTGACTTCCTTTTAATAGTCTAAATACCAACATTTTATGTTCTAATTTCTCAATTAAAATGAGACTACACTGAAAATTAGTCCTCAAAATAATCTTCTATTTATGATTTTTAGGTGATTAAAAGAAAAAACAGTTTTCGCATAAGCAGTAAAAAATTATTTCAAGAACTTCCCACATGGAATTGGGAACAGGGTATATCAAATATTGGAATTTTTAGGATTTTTTTTTTTTTTGAATTCCATTTTCATTTCTAAAAAAATTCAAATACTTTCGTACATGAATTGGTGCTCAAGCGAAGTATAAAAATAAAATCACATGCATGCATATTGGAAAATTATAGACTTTTTTCCAAACGAAAAATTAAAAACATGTCAAAGATAAAACGAACAACAACATACATTTTCTCAACAAAAATATGTGCTTCAAAGCAATTTCTTCGGTTCACTTCACTCGAGCTTTCTTCAATGAATTAATCAATGATGTCTCGTCCTTTTGATGTACTTTCATAAATGGATGAGAGTGAATGTACTAAGTATGGCATTATTATAATGGAACGACGTTATTAAATGCAAAATCCGCCATTAATCACCAACTTACTACAAAAATGCTATTTAACTTTTAAAAATTTAAATTACCGGCATTTTAAATGAGCCAGATTTTATTATATATGATTACCCAAATTTATAAGTAAAGCGATATTAAATGTGTTGCAAATGCTTCTAAAAATCAGAACTCTTCACATAGTCTATTTTATTTAGTATGATGGTATTAAATGTGAAATCTACCATCGATTAGCTATTTAATACCATAACTTATAATTTTTTTCTGAGTAGGACAATATTAATGTGTAGAAAATTTTCTAAATCTAGATAGAACTCTTAGATAAATTTTATCTGAGTAGGATAATATTAAATATGGAACCGCCCTTAATTACTGAATTACTCGAATATTATGAACTTTTAAAAATATTAAATTACCATTACTTTAAGTGAGTGTGGCGGTTTATATATGTTTACTCAGATTGTAGTGTGATGAGTACAGTGTCAATTAAAAAGCTAGTAAACTGGACCTAAAGAGTTCAAATTATCATTTCCTAGAGTATTGTCTATCTTGAATATTGATTAACTGTTCCAACTTCTATTCGAGTAAAAATAATAACAAAATATTTCAGTTATGATCTGAACTTATAACTCTATGAAAATAAGTAAAAGAAAAGCAAAAATAAACAATTTAGGATTTTAATTGATGTATGATAACTGTTATGATTCACAACCTCATCATATTTATTCCCTTTATTTCAATCACCAAATTCTGACAACATCAAATATGTCTACTCATTCGAACCCTTCTATATTAATTAATTTACATTTCTTTAGATCGAATCCATCTTATTCAATAAAGTCAACTCGTTATAAACTTTATGTGAATCACAGTAAACCATAATTAAATGTATTAAATTGCTTTTAATATTGTTGTTATAATTCATTGAACTCATTGTATGCCGTGCTATCTTTTACTTGTGAATCTCAGCGATTTACCTTTATCAAAAGTTATGATTGGTGTTCCAAAAAATAAGAACTACTGTAACAAGTTCTTAGTAATTAACGTGCATTTAGACCAATCTCATGGCTACTTGCAAACTGGGAATACAGTACTATATTGTTAGTGCTCAAGTAAACACAAAATCAGTGTTTGACAGAGAATAAGTCTTGTTTATAGGACAAAGTGCAGCAGTTGGGTGTCTAATTTCCTCTTTGGTGTTCAATGAAGCTGATAATGTCATTTCGCCATTGAACTAAAATTAAGATAAAGATAAGAAATAGAAACACAATATTAATAAGGTAAATCAAGCCTCTGCACAGTTGAAATGACATTATCAGTTGAAATGACAATATTAATTTAGTTTCAATCAAGACATCCGTCTATCTTCTTGTTTCAATGCTCATAGCCTCTTCACAGTTGAAATACCCTCTACTTGCAGAACTTCGAAAATGAATGCAAGCACGGATTCCTCCCACCACCTGGAGTATTGAGCTGACAACCCAAGCTCAAAAGAACTAGACTGGAGACAAGGCTAATATCCCCAATAAATCAAATAATACTTCCTGGTTATAACAAATTTCATGAGTGATTGGTAAGAGTCCAATAAATCCAACTTCGTTTATATCTATATATTACAAAGTGCCCTGCAACAGCCCTGATCAATTCTATGTACTCGATAACCATCAAGGAAAAAGAAGTTTTTGAGGGTTATTGTCACTTCCCCTCGGGGAAAGATGAACATACTAGTCCTGGAACCAAAACTTCAATAGCCCGTCTTGTGCTTTCTGGCCACAATAGTATCATCTGCAGGATATATAATAGCATATCATATAAATTGCACTGTTAGAACACTGAACACACCATAAGTTACTGTCAGTTTTTCAGCGTGTTCATTTCAATTCTTCCAAGCAAAATTTCCTCAGCCTTTGAAGAATGAACTCTGGTAAAAACCTTTATGCAGATTGTATCCACCAAACAGAAAAGCATGGCAAAAATAATCTTATTCTTTTCTTTACATTAATTTACGTATTAGGGAAAACGAGGATAGTCATTCATAGGAATAGAAAGAATTTAAAATTTAGGTATATTAAAGCTAACAATTGGAAAGACAATTTATCGCAAGAGTATATACCTGTTGAAACTACGGAGTCGTCTAGAAACTAGAGATTTGATGTTTTAGTTGTCCCACCTAGCAAGGTGGACAATTTCTGGTTATGACAAATTTCGTGTATGAGTGGTAAGAGTCCAATAAATCCAAATTCCTTTCTCTCACACACACCATATATTACAAAGTGCCCTGCAACAGACCTGGTCAATTCCAGGTACACAATCTCTAGCATCACTTCTAGCATTACAATTGTGCTACAAACCTGCTGGCAATGCAGTGGTAAATGTGTACTGAGTAGCATGAAAAAGCCATCATATGACATTGTTTTGCTCACTCAGTTAAGAAAAAGCAAGATACTTGGAATCAACTCCCGTACACAATTCTCGTGGAGATTACGTTAATAACATGAAGATAAAACCTTAGCACATATTGATGTTCCAGAAAATTCATCCCAACATTATACTATCTTGCTAACAAAATCTTCATTCAAATTGTGCTCTGACTGAGGATAAAATAACACATTATGACATAACAATATCATTTGCAAGATTTCTCAGATCATTACACAAGCTGTGAATTGCAATAGTAAACTAAGCAAGGGATGCCCATCCAATATCATTGTGACATAACAATATCATTTCACAATATTTTGCAAAACCATACACTGGGGCTAACTAAACAGTATACTACAAAAGGGCATTGCTTCCACTACTCGACTTTGTCATCACAAGCTCTTTAGATTGAAATTCTATCCAGTCCATTATCATACGGGTCCGCCCTTCATCATCTGCAGCAAGGTCCGCCACCCTAGCGAATGCCTCACACATATTGTCGTATCTCAATTGTTCAGGAGTACTAACCAACCCATCGTAATTAACTGCGACCCTTGTGTGTGCTCTACTAATATCTCTCCTCCATCTTCGCAATATATACCTTTCCGGCAATGATGTCACGTCGTTACGGATCAAGACTGCAATTGCATGCCTACAAATTATTCCTCGAAACTCGAATAAGTGACAACTGCAAATAATTTCACATTTTTCTTTCTGAAATGAGACAAAAAATGTTTTTTTCTTCCGTCGCTCGTCATGCATGACATCCTCCCGTACCTCGTATGTCGTCCCAAAACATCCCTCCGAAACAGATATGAGGTCACAATAAATCTTCCCTGTAAACTCATCTTGAACTTCCCTAAATTTTGAAATGGTGTAAACTGATTGAAATTGCTTCTCCATTTCATACTTTGTTGCACATGGTACCATTTGCAAGAATGACTTGAAATCGGCCTGAAACTCCTTTTCAACCTTATTCCTTAGTGCTCGTTCATATTGTTCGACAAATTGTTTCAATGAGGTCTTTGGATGCACATACCCATGAAAAAATGCATTCATACTCTCATTTCGTTGAGTTGTTGACATCCCAGCCCAAAAAGTAGTTTTCAAAAAGCAAGGAACCCAACAATCTCTGTTCTCATACAATCCTGATAACCAATCATTATTATGCAAGTCATACGTATTGATCATTGATCTCCAACCTTCTTCATATTCTTCAACCATCTGTGAATCATATACTAATCCGTGTATAGCCGAAAATATCGAACCCTTATCAACGTGATAGCCAAACTTTTCAGGTAACTTCTTCATAATGTGCCACAAACACCATCTATGCTTTGTATTTGGAAAAACAATCTGAATTGCATTTTGGATGGCACTGTCTTGATCGGTAATTATTCCATATGGAGCTTGACCATTCATGCACTGAAGCCATGTCCTAAATAGCCACACAAAAGTATCTGTGTCCTCATTGGATACCAAACCACAACCAAGCAGTATTGATTGTCCATGATGATTCACGCCAACAAAAGGGACGAAAGGTATGTCGTACTTATTAATGAGGTAAGTGGTATCAAAGGTGACAACATCGCCAAACTCCTTGTATGCTTGCCTACACCTATTATCTGCCCAAAATATATTCTTCAGCCGCAACTCGTCGTCAAAATCCATACTAAAGTAAAATCCCAAGCACCTTGCTTGCATCTTTGAAAAATAGGATTGTATTGCTGCAATATCTCCTTCTCCAAGTTTTAATCGTCTCGTTTGCTCAATATTGTTTCGACAATCCCTTTTCATACAAGTTATATTCTCATGTCCATCTGCTTCAACAACTGTGGAGTTATAACTTTTGTGCAACGAAGTTCCTGTCATATCATTCACTTCAATTTTCTGTTTCACATGTGCACTCAAATCTCGGTTACATCGATACAGCCTTGACTTCGAAGGACTTGTTTTATGATTGTGATCGAGATGGACTGTGTTAATTCTCCAAGTTCCATGATTAATTGAAGATGCAGAGATCCTGGCTTTACAATCTGTCTGAATTGTTGGTTGCGGTTTCAAAGAACGACCTGTATTACTACTTCTTCGACCTTCATGACTACATGTGAACGTCACATATCTTAGAGTACCATCATCCCCCCTTTTCGAATTCCTTTTCTTAACTGGAAAACCTACATCATAAGCATATCTTTTGTAGAATTCAAACATTTCTTTTTCATCCATGAACATCATACCCACCTTAGGCACAATCGCACCATCTCCTCCCGACATTTCATCTTCCACTATGTTCATATCATTCGTAACGTTCTCAGTATTGGATTCCACCAACAACTCATCATGCACGTCTTCTATAATTTCTTTTGCTACAATAGAATAAGCGACAAAGTTAGCAAAACATAAGCCAATTACACTATAATAACTAAATCAAAAAGTAATTTCAAATTGATACAAACAATCATTTCAATATAGCATGATAGCTCTTATTATGTAGTTGTATAAGCAACAATGAAGGAAGGACTACACTAACAAAATAACAAGGGCTAAAATTTCAATAGACACTATTTTTTAGATTTTAGGTATGCACTTTCTAGTTTCTTTTACATCATTTCAATATATCTTAATTCTCTGATCAATGACACCTAAGAATTATATTTTATGTTTCAAGGTAAGGTGATACTCTTAACAAATCCTAACAAACCCCAGACCATGTTAAAATTATACCACTAAATCTCCAATCCACTATTAGTTGCTTCACTATACATTTGGTGGTTGACATCTCTTTTAATCCGTCAATAAGAGAAGTAAATTGTTTTATGAAGGAATGAGTATCTCGACATTATTTTCATTATAGCAAGTCCCAAACCTAAGTTAATGATAAAATGTTGCCATAAGTTGACGGCTAGTGTAAAACTTGAATCCTAATATGCATGTCCTTGAGGTGTCTTCTAGTGGCAAAGGATTTAGTAGATCTTCATTGAAAACTCAAATCTTGCAAAGCAACAGATATTGAAAAATTAAAAGGGGACAATACTAAAGAAACGAGAAGAGTGGCTCACATGGGTTAGCTGATGGTGGAGAAGATGGTCGGGAGGTAGCTGCTGGAGTTGTCGACGATTTTTGACCGCAATCATCAGAACTGACAATTTTCGCAGTTGGGATAGAATTTTGCGGGTTATCCAATTTAGGGGAAAAGAGTGTGCTTGCAGTTAAATTTGATTTCATCATTCCCTCGTTTTTTTTTTTTTTTTTGGTTAAATAATTGCAACGTCACCAATTTTAAATTTCCCTGTAAACGACCTGGCAAAAGGACCTGAACAAGAAGTTTGATAGTTAGCATTAAAGGCATTGTCTGAACTAGCAAGGAGATCAAGTGCAGCCAAATCAAGTTTCTTATTCTCTTAAATACTTGCATCTACATAGTCCAGTTAGACATGCTTTTCTTGTTCATATTTCATGCCATGAAACCACAATGTTGTAATTTTATTCCATATGAAAATGCCAAAAACAAACATAAAACAAAATATGTAGCAGAGAACATAAGGATAGCTCCCAATAAAAGTATAATCAATGGATATCTGTCCACTACTTTTCAATAATCAATGGATATCTGTCCACTACTTTTCATGAACTAACAGTTCTTAGTAGTAACTAATTAAGCCAACTGAAGAACATTCAAATAAGGCTAATTTTTGAAGCAAAAGCAAACTGCAAGTCCACTAAGTTGAAACAACTTAATCAAACAAGGCACATCTTCTATGAAAAGTTTGAACAACTTCTATTTTTGTTGAAGTATTGTGGCTAGCACTTTCAAGAGAGTAATAAATTTAGCACATCCCTCAGAACTCATTTCTCTTCAAAGAATATCAGTCTACTTTTAACGTTAAAACTTCATAAATATTCATCATAGGGATGCAGGACGTTCTTCAAAACAGCAGCATAAATTATTACAACCAAAATAAATAAAAAACAAATCTTTAATCTTCAAAGAGATGAGCATTATGTATTACAAATCAAACAATTTTTTGGGAATGAAATGATGGAAATAATATAATGATTTTCATTCTTCAGCGGAAAAAAATTCAAAATACAGATAATATCCCTCAGAACAATATTTTCATCAAACTCAATCAGGCCACTACTTTTATTTCAATCTTACGTTCTTCACTGGGATAGTTTGGGAAAAAATAATGGGAAAAAAATAACAATACACACACACACACACACACACACTATAATAATTTCTATATCTCATCTTCTTTGTTTCTAAAAGACACATCTTGCAAAGTTTGAACATCAAGAGAGAGTAATCAGACATTAATGCAAGAGGTTCAATTAAAAAAATAATTTGAAATAATAAAATTTCAAATTACAAATAATATCCCTCAGAATAATAATTTCATCAATTAGATCAGGCCACTACTTTTATTTCAATCTTACGTTCTTCACAGGGATGGTTGAAAAAAAAATAATAATAATAACAATTATACAAAAGCAATATCAAAATAAATTCACAATAATACTTTCAATACCTTAGTTACAATTCTTTGCTTCGAAAATAAAAACAGACTATAACCTCGAATTGAAACGACGCCGTTCGATTCGTTAGGCACATTTAATTCTTAGTAAATATTGGGGACGGGGTAGGAGAGGAGGAGAAGAGTGGAATTTGCGGCGGCGAAATAATTTTTTTAGGGTTTTTATGTAAGCCAGAGAGTGAGAAGAGGAACGCCTCTGTTTGGATACATGGGATAGTTTTACTCCAGGAAGGGATAAATTTATGAAATGTGCCACAGCAATTTGTACAACTCTTTCACATGTACAGGTGGAACTCATGATTAAAATAATCGCGAATTTCACACATGTAACAGGGCTGTAATTTTTACAAAATTGAGCTATACTACCATAAGGGAGGATGACGGAAGCCTTGACCTACTCTCACATTTGGGGGCGGTCCCACTTTTTCATCCTAATTGTTTATTCACGCGGGATCTCATGATTGTGAGGGAGTATCAAAGCCTCTGTTAAAAAAATTTCTGACAGAGAGGCTTTTCTCATTTCTACAGCACCCAAGTATCTTTATTGTGAAGTTATCCCCTAATTTTTCTACTATTAAAGAATGAGTGGTTAGTGATACCATGATTTTTATTTATTACACCCTATTTTAAAACTCAATTTTTTCATTATATCAATTATTTCTCTCATTTTTTCCGTCGAATTTTGACCTTTAACTGTCTATTAATTAATATGTATTGTCCTTAATGATAATTTATATAAAAATATATTGATTTCATGCTTTGAAATGGGGAAAAATATTTTTCGCACTTTTTTATTACTTCAAAGAAATGATGAAAAAATAAATTAATTTACATCACTTCAACAGACTTTTTGAACATAAAACTATTATCAAATAAAAAAATTGATAACTAATGAAAATTTTGAGGATAAGAATAATATAAAAAATCATTAGGAACATAAATGCAACGAATATAGATTAAAAACCATAAGTACAATTAAAATGTAGTACAAAAAATAAAAATTGTGATGTAAATATAACCACCCTTAAAAAATTCCTAATGTCGAGTTTCGAAGGAGGGATGTCGAAAGGGAGATAAATGCAACTACTGATTTTTAGTTACGGAAAAATAGATTTTCATTACACTGTGAAACGCTCGAATGAGGTGTATTCAATTGGAACTTTTATAAACCTTTTGGAATTTAAAAAGTTTAGGGTCTTTAACGTAGACTTTTTGAAATTCTCTAAAATGATTTGGTTAATCAATCGAGACTTTTATAAATCTTTAAAAGGTCTTTAAAGATTACGATGTGTTCAACTAAAACTTTTTAAAAATCCTTATAAGTTTTGGGGTATTCAAATTATTAATGACTTTTAAAGCCTCTAGTGTACTAGCTTTTAAGTAGAAAAACCAAAATAAGATCTCAAAATTTGTCTTTCATTCATCCCTAAATTTTGGGGGATTTTCACAAAAAATAATAACAACAACAACAATAATAATATGTATTTTTGTTTTTTTCAATAATTCTCTTCCTTTTTCTATTATACGGATGTTAGAGTTATGATTAAAAAATATTTTTTTACTATTTATATTTGTTTCTATTTTTCTTTTCTCTTTCTTTTATTTTTTATCTATATTTTTTATGAAAAATTAAATTATAACTAAAGAATCTTATAATTTTTTTTCTTTTTCCGTCATTTTTTAAGAAAAATATCTATTTGTAAAAATTATAATATTTTATATAAAAAGATTAATTTATAATTAAATTTAAACATATTGATTTCTTGTTTAAGGTATGTCGTAATAATAATACTAAATATTGAAGAAAATTATAAAGAATGATGTGTGTGTGTATTGGATTGTTGGCAGAAAAAATTAAAGTTAACCAACAAAATATTGACACCTGGCATCTTGTAAAAAATTTGGCAAAATCCCTCCATACCTCTAGCATTCTCTCTCTCTCTCACACACACACACACACACAAATATATATATATATATAGAGGTGAAACGGAATTGTATGAACCACCACATCATATATGAAAATTTTACACGATTGTTCTAAATCCATGTGAATTTTATTTTAAATAAGTCTTCAAAAAAAAAAAATTTAATTCTACAAAAATCTATAAAAGTTTTCAATTAAAAGTTTATAGAAAACTATATATATATGGAGAGGTGAAATGGAATAGTAAGAACCACCACATCGTATATGAAAATTTCATACGATTGATCTAAATCCATGTGAATTTTATTTTAAATAAGTCTTCAAAAAAAAAATTTAAATTCTACAAAAATCTATAAAAGTTTTCAATTAAAAGTTTATAGAAAACTATATATATATGGAGAGGTGAAATGGAATAGTAAGAACCACCACATCGTATATGAAAATTTCATACGATTGATCTAAATCCATGTGAATTTTATTTTAAATAAGTCTTTAAAAGAAAATTTTAAATTCTACAAAAATCTATAAAAGTTTTCAATTAAAAGTTTATAGAAAACTACGAAAGACTTTCATTAATTTATACAAATTAATAAAAAGTTCACGAAATCCACAGACGTGTCACTTGAAAAAAAAAAAGTTGTTTAAAAGTTTTCAAAAATCACAATTGTTTCACAGTGGATGAACGTATTGGCGGTAGTTTACTTGACAATCACTATGGCAAATGGAGTAAGAGTTTGGACAGGGAAAATCCATTGTAGAGTGGTGTGTGATGTGTGTGGGGATTCATCTATTGGCCCTGAAGATCATGCTTTATAAAACAATTTACTTCTACCAGTTTTATTCAATTTTGATTCTTGGAATTGGTAGTTTTGATCAATTTGATGTTAAGGAAGCGTTTGAGAGTCATTTTTATGTAAAAATACATTTTAAAATAATAACTCGATGGGAAGTGTGTGGTTGAAAAATAAGGAAAATTTTTTTATTTACGTGTAATATTATTTTTAATGAAGAATGTGTGATTAAAAAGAAGAGAGAGAAAAATACATTTTAAAAAAAATGGTTACCAAACAGGGGTTTAAATGCAGAAGGGTTTTAAGTTTGTTGCTCGATGATTCCCCGTTTTGACTTGATTTAGTTGATCCTGTTAATTAGTATTTGACTAACCGCCTTTGTTGATGTGGGAAATTGATGGACTTCTAGGCTTCTAGTTAGCTACTATATATTTAACTGTGAGGGTGTTTGGGAGATATTTTTATGTAAAAGTGCATTTTTGAATAGTAAATTGATGGGAAATGTATGGTTGAAAAATAAGAAAACGTTTTTTATTTACATATAATATTATTTTAATAAAGAATATGTGGTTGAAAAGAAGAGAGAGAAAAATACATTTTGAGAAAAATGGGTACCAAACGGGGCCTGTATATGCTTGAATATCAAGCTGCTAGACAAGACTCGGTTAGTGAGCTCATCTACGCGCATGAGGGATAATTGATCCTGCTCCAACAATCAACATGAATAAAGGATTAAATTTAAACATAATTTTAAATGAAGGGTGTATAGATACAACCTGAATAAAAAACCATTACAAGAAAAAGTGAGTCAACATTCGGGTACAAGAAAATAAGAAACTATCAATGCCGCTCTCGTCTTGCCCCATGAGACAATTTTGATTGGTCTTGAACAAAGGATTATCCTAGACCTACACATGTATTGATAGTGATTTTCAAATTTCGTTGAACACAATGAGAGAGGATAGGTAGAATGCTATACAACATGGTGAAAATATGGAATTTTTTCTTAGTGTTGTTTTTCACTTACTTGGGCGTGAGATGGCTAAGTGTTCATATAAGGCAAGTGGAAGTGCCACATAGAGTGTAATGTCCACTATTACATTTCTGAAAATCCAGATCAACTATACTAAATTAGGTAGACCTACATGGGACTGCTTGTCAACAGCTAAGGTTGAAGTCTGACAAAATGCACAAGGAGTCGCTTCTTCGAACTTGAATTGGCATTTATGCTCTCCTCGACAATTTTTTTTTTATTTTTTTATATCCAGGTATCTCAACTTACACCAGACTAAATCTTGGACCCCCCAAGACCCATGCCCTTAGAACCTTGGAGAGGGTAAATCTTGGGTTATACCTCAACTGGATCACAGGTTCCCCCCATTGCCTGTACACTTCTGCACACAAGAGACCCTTCTCCACAGTGATTGCTCCATAACAAATTTTTTGGCTGCAGGTTCCCATCAGAAATCGAACTCTCCACCCTGCTGCTGGAAGCAAGACAATGTTGATTGATCCACCGATTGAGCTGTGCCTTGAGGGGCCTC